TTCTAACACGCCCCCACATGTCTACGTCACGATGTGGGAAGATTTGCATAACGCCGCCCAAATGTTCACGCAAAGAAAGCAGGCGTAACTTTTATTCTCGCTGTAGTATTGTTGCCGCCGCCGCCATGTCGTGAAGGCGCTGTGTGCTTCGTTGTGAAAGCGAAACTACTTTGTTTGGCCTTCCAGAAGAGGACAATATCGCTTCGTCATGCGTGGAGCTGATCCACATGTGGTTGCCGCAGGCATCACAATATGGTAAGGGACGTAACATTTCCGTCACACGCTTGAGGTATTCGGCCAATCACAACGCACTGGATAGCTGGCCAATCAGAGCACACCTCGCTTTTCAGACCGATGAGCTTTGTAAAAATCGACGTGTTTCAGAAAGGCAGGGCATAGAGGAGAAACAATAATGTACAGTATGTGGAAAATAATGTGTTTTTTTGACACATTTCATTACACCAAATACACGAAATTGTTATTTTTAGCAGCATCATATGACCCCTTTAATATTTTGAGTTTGTTTTTATTTTTATTTTATCCTTTTTCATTTTTATTTTAGTTAAAGTTTTAATTATTTTGTTGTTGTTTTATTGTAATTTTTATTGTCTTTTTTTTTTTTTTTTTTTCAGTTATTTTAGTACATTAAAATGATGAATTTTTTTTTTCTGCTTTATTTTAATGAACAAAAGTGATTTTTAATCGTTTGAGCCACTGGTCAGTGTCAGTCAGTCATTGGTGGAGAGACTGTTATAGTTCATAGAGTTCATAGAGCTCAGTGTGATTATTGTGCTCATTAATGATGAACGGATCAGTGTTCGATCACACAGAGACTCACTGAGCCCGTTTCTACCCACAATGCCCTGCTTTGTTTACTGATACACAGACAGAGCACAATAGAGAGTGGTGTGTGTGTGTGTGTGTGTGTGTGTGTGTGTATAGACATCTAAGTGTTTGAGCAGCTGAAGTCATCTGTCATGTCGTTTAATTAAGGAAGTGTTAAGTAATTAACAAGGATGAGAATGAATGAATTCCTTCACATTCATATCAAGTGTTGAAGTCCACCTGCAAACACGCGGCGTCAGTTGGTGTGTGTTAACCGGTTCGTTTAGCAGAGAGAGAGAGAGAGAGAGAGAGAGAGAGAGAGTGTGTGTGTGTGTGTGTGTCTGCTGTACTAACACTTCTCTCATTAAGCTGCTGCTCGTCTCGAGCTCATCCTGACTTTACAGCAATTAATAATCACAGTGCCTTCAGACAATTGCTTTGTAATACAAGTTTTCTGAAATGTTCTGTCTTAATATGCAAATGAGGCATTATCTAATTAAACATGCACTAATTTGCATACATTTCCCAAGCATAAATCTGAACATTGGTTTATAATTTGATTTTGTTGAAATATTAGAGTTAAAGGTTTTTCCAGAGGGGATTTTGGGTTTCTCTTTTTCTTACTCCATAAATAAGAAAATACTGTCAGCCGACACATTTTCACCATGTTTTTAGGAGTAAAATGCTTTATAAATCAGTGTGAATGAAATATGAACAAACCTTCAGAATACAGAGAGGAATAAAACGGTAAAGTTTGCTGTTTGTAAGAGAAAAAACTCTTTAAAGATTGAAATCTACAGACGCAAATAAATAAAGTGCAATAAAACAAACACTTAAATGTGTATTTTGGATGTTTTCTTTTAAACTAGTCTGAATAAGAGACATGTTATGAAAGCAAAACAGAGCATAATCTCAAGATTGACCAGTTTTTGACTATAGTGTCTTGCCTTAAACCTGAGGTGTGCATTACAGTGAGCACGACAGTTACATTCATTCATAATACCTGTGATTCTTCTGCAAAGCAATATAATTTATTAGCCTGTGTGGACTGTTTATGGGTGCCACACAACGTTTATTAAAATCAGTTTATTTAACCCTCATAATGCATTCAGAATCGGTTTTCTATTTCACGTTTTTATTAATTAAAAAATTGAGAAATTCTTTGAAATGTCAAATTACACATAGACCACACCAAAAAACAAAGAAATATATATGTGTGTTATATATATATATATACAGTGGGTACGGAAAGTATTCAGACCCCCTTAAATTTTTCACTCTTTGTTATATTGCAGCCATTTGCTAAAATCATTTAAGTTAATTTTTTTTCCTCATCAATGTACACCAAAATATTTACAAAAATGTGAGGGGTGTACTCACTTCTGTGAGATACTGTATATACACACACATACAAAAATAAATGTAAAATTTTATTTGAATATATCATTGTATGACATTTATAACGGAGCATATAATCTGATCCATACATACCCAAGTAAAATGACCCGAATACGTTATGAGGATTAAACACAACAGCATTTATGTATTTAAATGGCGTCCAGGTTGTGCGCAGCAGCTCATATGATCATAAATGAACGATCTCTCGCTCTGCTGTTCTGATTGGCTGCTGCAGCCCATTTCTCTATCTCTCTCTCTCTCTCTCTCTCTCTCTCTCTCTCTCTCTCTCTCTCTGTCTGTCTCTCTCTGTCTCTCTCTCTCTGTCTGTCTGTCTCTCTCTCTCTCTCTCTCTCTCTGTCTGTCTCTGTCTCTCGCCCCTCCTCTGCTGGCTCAGCTGCTCGGGAGGCTGTTTGAGTGTTTAGCAGTGGTGCAGGAGGAGGTAAGATGGGCCTGTTCATCCGTGTGTTTGATTGACGCTGTGAAGGTCTCATGCATGTCTGTGATCGTTATAGTGTGTGTGTGTGTGTGTGTTGTATACAAGTGTATATTTTGTGTGTGTGTGTGTGTGTGTGTGTGTGTGTGTGTGTGTGTGTGTGTGTGTGAGAGCAGGATGATGAAGGTCTTCGGCGCGCCGTCATGCTGCAGTGCATTGTTCAGCCGTATTGCAGCTACAGTGCATTGTTCATCCTCTATATCGGCTCAACACGAGCGTCTCACAGCTTCATGCACCTTCATTGTGAATTTGTTCTCCATTGTGAGTTCGTTCAGTGTGGTACGTCACGTTCCTGTCGGCGCTGATGGTTTTCTCGCTGAGTCACGCTGATGCTCGTGTTGTGCTGCATTGGTTTATTGATTCGTTTGATCGTCTTCTGTTATATTCAATACAAAATAAGTGAAAAAATGACCACGACTATCAACGAAACCTCCATGCATCATAAATTTGTCCATACCAGGGTTTTATTGTAAATTAAAACTAAAACCATTAAAAAAGACATTGTCATTACTTGAAAAAAAGATTTAACTGAAATAAAACCATTTGAAATTTTATGTAAATTTTTTGTGCTTTTGTCAAAAGAGCAGCAGCAGCTCATTTGCATTTAAAGAGACAGGCACGAAAACAGCCTGCTTCTGCTTCCACTCAAAATAGGCATTTTCAAAATGATATAATAAATGATCTGTGGTGTATTTTGAGCTGAAACTTCACAGACACATTCTGGGGACACCTGAGATTTGTATTACATATTGTAGAAAGGGGCATAATAGGTCACCTTTAAGTAATGAAAACTTTTCGTTATGGTTTTAGTGTTAGTGAGCCTCATTTGCGGTTCCTGAGATGGTGAGTGACGTGATGTGACGGATCTGTGTGTGTTTCTGTCAGGATTCGGAGGCTGTGGAGATCATGCTGGGAGTTTGTTCCAGCGGCCTCCTCATCTACAGAGATAAACTGCGCATCAATCGCTTCGCCTGGCCCAAAATACTCAAGATCTCCTACAAGAGGAACAACTTCTACATCAAGGTGCGGCCGGGAGAGGTGAGATGAGACGAGTCTCGTTCTGTTCTTCAGATCGACTGCAGTTTGTCTGAACGTGTTTGAACGAGCGTGAAACGCTTGGCTTTCTGTTCTCACTCAGCTGGAACAGTTCGAGAGCACCATCGGATTTAAACTGCCCAATCACAAAGCAGCAAAGCGACTCTGGAAAGTTTGTGTGGAGCATCACACCTTCTTCAGGTCAGACAGACTCCATGCTGTAGAATTCATTAATACTGAGAAGTTTTATTTCTTGTGTCTTCCCTTCGGATTTTAATTTTTGTCATTTAAGTGTTTTTGTCATTTTCTTTAGTTGTTTTTTTTTTTGTAATGTCTGTTTCATTTTTATTTTGGTTTTAGTGATATTAGTACAAAATTTTAGTCATTTTAGTACTAAACTAAATGTTTAGATACTAATATAGTTTTTATTAATATTTTGAGTTTGTTTGTATTTTCATGTTTTCCCTGTTGATTTGAATTTTAGTCATCTGAAATTGTGTCTTGCATTTTTATTAGTTTTCTTTTTAGATTTAATAATATTTAAATATTTTAGTTTTTATTCATTTTTGATTCAGTTTTAGTCATTTTAGTAAACTTAAACTAAACATTTAGTGTTATTTTAGTATCACTGAGATACTAATGTAGTATTTATTAATATTTTGAGTTAATTTTTATTTGCATATTTTCGCTGTTGATTTTAATTGTAGAAATCCGAAATTGTGTTTTTGTCATTTTTATTATTATTTTTTTTAAATATATATGTAAATATTTGTTTTTATAAATTTTTATTTTAGTTTGTCATTTTAGTACTTCAACTTTAACTAAACATTTAGTGTTATTTTAGTATCATTGAGATGCTAATATAGTTTTTATTAATATTTTGTTTTCATTTCAAATTTAAAGTTTTAGTAATTAGTATTTTTGTCAGTTTTAGTACACTGTAAAAATAATAATAAAACAATTTCAAAGTTATAAATAAATCCTAGATTATTGCAGTACAAGAAAATACTATTTTATTCAAAATTTCACGTTTAATTCATTGTGTTAATTGTCATTTCTTTGTGATTATTTGTGAAATTTACTAGCAATTTTTAAGTGAAATTGTTCCAAAGTAAAACATTTTTCAGTGTAGTTTTTTTTATATTTCTGTATTGTTTTTATCAAATTTTATTTCAGTTTTAGTTTTAACTATTGTAGTTCATCAAGTTAAACTAAATGAAAAGGAGAAATTTTGTCAATAAAAAAATGTATGAAAAATTGCCAAAATTGTTAAAAAAAACTTTTTGTTGGTCAATGAAATAAATGTAAGTTTTGTGTATATATATATTTTTTTATTTTTTTTAGTTAACATAAGTTTATTGCACTTACCATAATTGTTCTTTTTTTTTCTTTTTCTTTTTCTTTAGTGTTATCATTGACAAATAGTAAAAAATAAAAATTACGTGGTTTTTTTCTTTTTCAACCAAGTCACTGTGGTATAAACATAAATGTTGTGTCATCATGAAAACCACATGCTTTGTTGTGGTGTGTTTCAGTTCCTATATTGGGATCATTTACAGAAATATTTATAACTGCCATTAAAAGCATCAGACACATCTCGCATAAGTGAAATGTTTAAATGTTATCGATCTAATTAGCGGTCTGATCCTTGTGTCCTGATAGGCTGGTTTCTCCTGAAGCTCCTCCCAAGCGCTTCCTGTCGTTGGGCTCAAAGTTCCGCTACAGCGGCCGAACACAAGCGCAGACTCGCCGAGTGAGCGCTCAGATCTCACGTGCCGCGCCGCAGTTCCAGCGATCGGCCAGCAGGCGGCACACCGTCACAGCCAGCATGGACAGCAGTGCGTAACACCGCTAACTCACACTAACCAGCTAGTCAAGTCAGTTTCAGACCGGAATTTCAGTGCACAGCGCAGGTCTTCAAATATTATGTGGGCGGTTAATAAGACATTGCTCATACTGAATGGAATCTTCCAGAGAAATTGGTTGAAGATGTGTGTGTGTGTGTGTGTGTGTGTGTGTGTGTGTATTCAGGAATGTATTTATTAGTGATGCACCAAATTTTGCTAAATATAATTAAAAAAACAAATTATTGCATTTCTTAAATGCATTCTTTATAAATCGCAATTCACTTGAAATTATGTGAGAGTGTGTGTGTTTTTGTGTGTGTGTCTAATTTTAATGACATAATTATAACAAAGCAGTTAAAATATTAAAATTAAAAATATTAATTGTGATTTCATATTTTTCTTAATGTTTTCATTATTGTTGGATTATTTTGCAGACTGGTGTATAAGCGTAAATGTACACAACATTTTAACATCAGTTTCTGCATATAAATACTGATTTTGAGTTCAATAACAGCACTGATTGTGTTAGCTGAGGAAAATATATGTTAGTGTGTTAATAATGTTAATAATGATATGTTGATGTATCTGTGTGATCAGCGCCAGCGACGGTGAGCCATGACGACGAGAAGAACGCCAAACCCGCTGTTGCTACGGATGACCTCATCGCCATGGAAACGCCGGAGAAGAAAGGAGAGGAGATGAACTCAGTGGAGGAGGAGAATAAAGCCAACAGTGACGAATCAGAACAAGCCCCGCCCCCCTCCGTCACCAAGGTAACCATCAAATGAATGACAGCTTGACACATGATGATCTGTTATGAGGTTTGTTTCAGCGTTCATGCTTCTGAACATGACCGGTAGGGACCAGAATCAAAATCAGATTTTTTAAAAATTTTTAATCTTAAATTTCTATGAATTTTTACAATCAAAAAGGACATTTAATCAATTTAATTCATAAAACTTTTACAATTTGATCATATATTAAAATTTTACCCAATAATTTTTTTTTTTCCTTCCCATATTCAGTTTTATTTTTTCTCAAATTCTTCCATTTCTATACGTTTTATAATAAAAAAGTATGTCTAATCAATTTAATTGATAAAACCTTTACAATTTAATAATTTATTACAATTTTAACATTATTAGGGCCTTGCGAAATGTTCTAATTTTTCCCAAATTTAGTTTTATTTTTTCTCAAATTCTTAAATTTCTATACATTTTGTAATCAAAAAGAATGTCTAATCAATGTAATTGATCAAACTTTTACAGTTTTATAATTTATTAAACTTTTAACATTATTAGGGCCTTGTGAAATGTTCTATTTTTTCACAAATTCAGTTTTATTTTTTCTCAAATTCTTAAATTTCTATGCGTTTTATAATCAAAAAGAATGTCTAATCAATTTTATTGATAAAACCTTTACAATTTAATATTTATTAAAATGTTAACATTATTAGGGCCTTGCGAAATGTTCTATTTTTTTCCCAAATTTAGTTTTATTTTTCTCATATTCTTACATTTCTATACATCTTTGTAATCAAAAAGAATGTCTAATCAATATAATTCATAAAACGTTTAAATTTGATAATTTATTAAAGTTTTAACAGTTATGGTGCCCTACGAAATGTTCTATTTTTTCACAAATTCAGTTTTATTTTTTCTCAAACTCTTACATTTCTATACGTTTTATAATCAAAAAACTTTTACAATTTAATAATTTATTAAAATTGTAACAATAATAGTGCCCTAATGAATTTTTTTTCATTTATTTATTTATTTTTTTAATTCAGTTGTTGTTTTTTCAGAAATTTTGTGTTTTTAATTTTTCTGGATTCTATTTTATTAGTTCAATTAAATGTTCATAATCAAAAAGGATGTGTCATCAATTTTATTGATAAAACTTTTACAATTTAATAATTTATTAAAATTGTAACAATAATAGTGCCCTAATGAAATGTTTTTTTGTTTGTTTATTTTTTAATTCAGTTTTGTTTTTCATTTGAGTTTTTCTGGATTCTATTTTATTAGTTCAATTAAATGTTAATAATCAAAAAGGATGTTTCATCAATTTAATTCATAAAACTTTAACAATATAATAATTCATTTTATTTATTTATTTACTTATTTTAATAATAATTGTGACCTATGAAAGGTTTTATTTTTCCCAAATTCATTTTATTTTTTCCTCAAATTCTGTTTTCCATTTTTATTTTACTGAATGTTTCAGTTTTAATAATTTAATTACTTTTTTTAATAATCCCAAAGGAATGTCTAATCAATTGAATTCATAAAACTTCAGCAATTTAAAAATGTAATAATAGATTAGCTGACACTACTAACATGTAGCACGACAAACAGTCGTGTAGAAATGCATTAACATTTTTAGGCGAGTGCAGCAGTTGCCACAGTAGTTCTGTTTATCGAACTCTTGTTACCTGTCCTTCACTAACCAGCTTTCTTGCTTTTCTTTTGACCACACATTTTTGTGTTCAAACATGCATATGTTTTCATGCGTGCATACGACACGCCTTCACCGTTTTCTCCCTCCATCATCATCATCATCATCATCATCATCAGTCTTGTCTGTACTCATCGGATCCGTTGGGATCTGAGCTCTCTCTCCCGTCTTCTCCCGTCTCGTCCACCAAAGTGCGCAGGAGACGCAGGGAAAGCAGCCGCAAGCGCGCCTCCTCCGTCAGTCCGGCCAAAACCACGGCGGGCTGCCGGAGACGTCAGGCCCAAGCGGACCGTAAAGTGGCTCTTCTGGAGGAACAAGCGCTGCTTCTGTCCGCACGCAAACAGAGACTGAACCAGAGCCGCAGCAGAGGCGGCATGCTCTTCTCCTTCTCTCTGCACTTCCCCGATCTGTCCTCGCTGCTGGATGAGGACGGTTACCTGAGCTTCCCCGACCTCACCGAGCTGCGCTTTCTTCCCGAGAGCCTGCATCACTTCATGCCCATCAAATCTCCGTCACTCATCCCCTGCTTCCTCTTCATCTTCTTCTTCCTGCTCTCCACCTCGTTCTCTGTGCCGTACGCACTCACGCTCTCCTTCCCGCTGGCGCTGTGTCTCTGCTATCTGGAGCCCAAGGCCGCGTCGCTCGGCTCGTCTCTGGCGCAGGGCTTCCAGGACAGTTCAGACGACGAGGTGCGTGTGTGTGCGTGTGTGAGTGTGCGTGTGTGTGAGTGTGTGCGTGTGCGTGTGTGTGTGCGTGTGAGAGTGTGTTTGTGTGTGTGTGAGTGTGGTTTATTTGCCGCATCAGTCTAAAGAGCTTCGAGAGTGTTTCATCTGTTCGTTCTCATTCACCACATTCATGGGATTATTCTCATCGTTATTGTTTGGAAAAAGCTTGAGATCTTCCACAGCATGTTTCCACTGGCACCTTCAACAAATAGCCTACAAATATGTATTATAATGTGTTATAAGTAGGGCTGGGCATTTATGGCAAAAAATAATGTCCTTTTGTTGTTGTTGTTGTCACTTTAATCTAGCTTGTGCTCACTGTTGCATCCGGGCGGATGACGTATGAGGTCAGCGTTGCGCATGCGCCGCTCAGAAGTGACGAACGCGGAAGCGCAGCGGAGAGATCAAAACAAAACAACAGTCACGAATTAGAAGTACAAAACGAGGATTTGTAAAGAAGAATGTCGGAGGATTTCGATATAAGCCAAGAGGAGACAAACGTTGTTTTTTTTTCACGAGACTCACCGGCGCATGCACAGCTGAACTCATACGTCATCCGCCCGGAGCTGCTTCTGTGTACAACTGTTGGCGCAAGCTACATTAAAGTGATTATTACGTTTTGAATATAGATATTTTTCTTACAAAAACGCATCGATTCGCTACAGGAGGCCTTTGTTCACCCCCCGGAGCCGTGTGAGACACTTTTTTTATGGATGGGCGCTTTTTATTTAACTTCTTTTGGACTGAAGCACTGCAACACCTGCTGAGTGCCATTAAACCGCTTGAAAGATCAAAAACAATTTTTAATATAACTCCGACTGGATTCGTCTGAAAGAAGAAAGTCATATACACCTAGGATGACTTGAGGGTGAGTAATTTATGGGCTAATTTTCATTTTTGGGAAAATGAAACATAAGACATGTCAAGCTTTCTATAGATATATTTCTCCTGTCTGTGTGTAAAGTATTCACTGAGTTTCAGTTCATTTTAGTGACGCGTTTCTAAAAGCAATTCACGGAGACAGTGAGGACTGAGAGCGCACCCTGTTTATTTTCTTTATTTTACAAAAGCACATTGTTTTGTTGTTATTATGACTATACACAAATAAAAGTAGACCCTTTGCAGTTTCAAACAATACCTTATTCTTATCTGTACGGTCAAAATTGACAGTGTATTTTTAGTTCTTTTCGCGGTCATCAAGAAAATACGAGACAGACCGCACCGGTGCGGGCTTCGACCCCAGGGGGTTAAACATGTCATGGGACACTATTGCGCCACCTATCTGTGCAAAGTGCCTGTTGTTTGTGCAACTCATTTTCACTAGTTGGCAGGTCATCGTTTACCCGTGTCTGGACGACACTTGGTTCATTCCTCAAGAGCATTGCTCTTATCTGATGCATGTTTCGTCATGTATAAAGCATCCGGTCAAACCTCCAGCGATGGAACGTGACAAACGTTCAACGTTAATGTCATCCTCACTTCTCTGATGCGTGTTGAGGAATGTATGCAGAAGCGCCGTCAGGATCATGTGATCAAACTTCTACATGCTCTTCTCACGCATCACGTCAGGTTCATGTTCTCATCATCTGTGTTGCATCATGAACAGCAGACCCTCCTTCACATTCTCATATGATCCTCACGAAGAATCATCTACTTGTCGTCCATCATGATGTGAATAACGTGAAGTCTGATCGGGGGATTTTTTCCTTTATTGCTGCGATCTGTCGGGACGTTCTTTGGTCAAACAGACCGACAGCGATCAAACCAACTTCACTTGTGATGACGACACATCGGCGACTGAGGTGTGTAGTTTAGTGCACTTTTATTCTTAATAGCTTGTGTTTTTAATGAGTGTATAACATGTCTCACGTCCTCTCTTTCACCCAAACTCGTTATAGTCTGACTTTGAGGACAACTTTGACATGAGGACACAGGTATCGAGACTCTATGGTGTTTTGAGAACACAGAAACCAGTTTAAGGTGGTTTGATGGTCTTGTATGAGTGAGCTGGTTAGGATGAGAAACCAGCTAAACCAGCAAAGACCAGCAAACCTCCTTAGGCCGGTTTGAAGCCAAGAACCATCCATCATCACCATGTTTTTGCTTTTGTTTTATTAGTCAAACGTGTCGTAACCAGTAGCAGAAACCCATCGATTCGCTACAGGAGGCCTTTGTTCACCCCCCGGAGCCGTGTGAGACACTTTTTTTATGGATGGGCGCTTTTTATTTAACTTCTTTTGGACTGAAGCACTGCAACACCTGCTGAGTGCCATTAAACCGCTTGAAAGATCAAAAACAATTTTTAATATAACTCCGACTGGATTCGTCTGAAAGAAGAAAGTCATATACACCTAGGATGACTTGAGGGTGAGTAATTTATGGGCTAATTTTCATTTTTGGGAAAATGAAACATAAGACATGTCAAGCTTTCTATAGATATATTTCTCCTGTCTGTGTGTAAAGTATTCACTGAGTTTCAGTTCATTTTAGTGACGCGTTTCTAAAAGCAATTCACGGAGACAGTGAGGACTGAGAGCGCACCCTGTTTATTTTCTTTATTTTACAAAAGCACATTGTTTTGTTGTTATTATGACTATACACAAATAAAAGTAGACCCTTTGCAGTTTCAAACAATACCTTATTCTTATCTGTACGGTCAAAATTGACAGTGTATTTTTAGTTCTTTTCGCGGTCATCAAGAAAATACGAGACAGACCGCACCGGTGCGGGCTTCGACCCCAGGGGGTTAAACATGTCATGGGACACTATTGCGCCACCTATCTGTGCAAAGTGCCTGTTGTTTGTGCAACTCATTTTCACTAGTTGGCAGGTCATCGTTTACCCGTGTCTGGACGACACTTGGTTCATTCCTCAAGAGCATTGCTCTTATCTGATGCATGTTTCGTCATGTATAAAGCATCCGGTCAAACCTCCAGCGATGGAACGTGACAAACGTTCAACGTTAATGTCATCCTCACTTCTCTGATGCGTGTTGAGGAATGTATGCAGAAGCGCCGTCAGGATCATGTGATCAAACTTCTACATGCTCTTCTCACGCATCACGTCAGGTTCATGTTCTCATCATCTGTGTTGCATCATGAACAGCAGACCCTCCTTCACATTCTCATATGATCCTCACGAAGAATCATCTACTTGTCGTCCATCATGATGTGAATAACGTGAAGTCTGATCGGGGGATTTTTTCCTTTATTGCTGCGATCTGTCGGGACGTTCTTTGGTCAAACAGACCGACAGCGATCAAACCAACTTCACTTGTGATGACGACACATCGGCGACTGAGGTGTGTAGTTTAGTGCACTTTTATTCTTAATAGCTTGTGTTTTTAATGAGTGTATAACATGTCTCACGTCCTCTCTTTCACCCAAACTCGTTATAGTCTGACTTTGAGGACAACTTTGACATGAGGACACAGGTATCGAGACTCTATGGTGTTTTGAGAACACAGAAACCAGTTTAAGGTGGTTTGATGGTCTTGTATGAGTGAGCTGGTTAGGATGAGAAACCAGCTAAACCAGCAAAGACCAGCAAACCTCCTTAGGCCGGTTTGAAGCCAAGAACCATCCATCATCACCATGTTTTTGCTTTTGTTTTATTAGTCAAACGTGTCGTAACCAGTAGCAGAAACCGCTCTGATGTGGATTTGGTTGCTGAAAGGGTTTTAATTAGGGCTGTCATGTGATTAATTAATTACTTGATGTGCTGATTAATTATCGCAAATGAATCATACGTGAATTTTGGCTGAGAAGTCATTGTTAAATGAGAAAAGCATTGAATAGACATTGAGTCATTGAATCATTCACTCAATCGATTCATTCGAACGGCTGATTCATTCAGAAACTAAGCAAGTGACTGTTTTTATGAACGAGTCACTGATTCATTGACTCACTCGATTTGTTCAAAACCATGGATAAATTGACAGTTTTAATTTTTTCTCTTTCTCTAGTATAGTTTCATAAAACGGATTAAAGGAGAGAATGTGTTTGTCAAGCACAGTAATCTCATGTTGGAGGTTTGTGAAGCATGAGGTGGCATGTGTTTGGGTTTAATTACTCATATGATCAGCGTATGTGCCGTTTAATAACTCTATTATTGTAAAGTTCAACTGCAGTGAATCTAACACCACTTGATTCAATTTTTAATCAATCCAAGTTTCACAGAAATTCAAGTTTTAAGCAGCTTCACAGAAAATGCCTGTTTCAGTGTTACAATTAACTTTCTGTTCTTATTTTGAGTGTTTCAAGTCCTTGCATGAATTAAACAATTAACGCAGCAATGAAAAGTCAATGACATGAGTTTGGAATCTTTTCATGCCCCGCCCCATTCGATCCCTCCCTGTGCTGTGATTGGTGGGTCAGGAGACAGACACGCCCACAGCTCTAGTGCAGCATCAGCTGAGCGTCAGTGAGCTGAAGAGGTTGTTTCTGCAGATGCGTTGTGAAGCGTCGGGTGTAAACGAGTGGGACAGGAGACTGTCCTCGTCTCCTCGACCGGACGACCCGTCTCTGATCAAACCTGTACACTCACAGGTGTGCTTTAGACCGGCCTGGACGTGAGATTTGAGTGACACTTCTGATCATTTAACAACAGAAATAGACAAAGCTGCACTTTAACCCTCTGGGCCCGTATTCACAAAACATCTTAAGGCTAAAAGTAGCTCGTAACTCGCCGATTTAGGAGAAAATCTTAAAAATAATGGGCGTGTCAGTCCTAAATTTAGGACTCCTAAATTTTAGATTTTTCACAAAGCATTTTAGCGCTAAAACTAGCTCCTAAATCTGTGAAAGGTTAGGAGTAGTGAAAAGGACTACTAAGTCACTAAGACCAAGCCACAAACTTTTCCTAAAACAGCTGTTGCCGGCAATCTGCCTCGGAACGTAAACGTTTTAGAAATATTTGACAATAATGAGCTTTTATAAAGGTATCACCTTTGGTTTTGGAGGTTATCCCAACTCTAAATTTTCCTTTGATTATGTCCTTGTTTTCATTAACCAGCTCGGCAAAAAGTAACAGCTGTTCTTGCGCCCAGTTTGGTTTTCTTTTACGTTTACATGTCTTACTATCAGCCATGATTATTCTACTCTGTTTATTAAAAGGCTGTTTATATGCATATTCACTAATTATGAGAAGCACACATGTAAGAGGCTGACAATAAGCTGAACATATACTTGTTTAATTAGTGACACTTAGCCTGCATTTTCAAATCTTTATTTGGAATGTCGCAACATTTTTACTTTTAAACCTTTATCTTTACTCTAAAATATTTCTGTGAATAAATCTCTGAGAGACTATCAGCCAATCACTGTGTGCATAGTTAATAAGCACGCTGACATCATCCATAGTAACGAGGTAAACCCCCGCCCCCTTACTCTTAGCTTAAGACTTCTCTCTATTCCTTAGTAAAAGTTTGTCTCAGCAGCTTTGTGAATAGGTTTTAAGAGAAAACTCTTTGCTAAAAACTTTTACTGCTATTTAGGAGAACTCTTAGTGGTAAGATAAAATGTTTTGTGAATACGGGCTCTGGTGTTTAGTCATTTTTGACGGAAATGTATTTATTTTTATTTTCTTTTACCTCTTCAGAATGGTTCGAAACTTGGTAAAGGTTTTGGCATTTGCTATGTGAACATAAAAAAAAGACATGGACAGGATTCAAAAAGGTTAAATGGTTCTGAAAAAATTAGTCATGCTTGTGCTTTTCACGGCCAAAAATGACCTCAATTGAAAATGAATGGAAGCAAATTTCATTGAGTGGAAATGCTTGGTACTGCGCTTTTTTGCGATATCAACTTAAAATTTGGAACACAACTTGCTTCGATTTTCTTGCAGTTAAAGTGTAAAACATGTTTTGGAAAATATCTATTTCGTTTCAAATTTTAAAATAGTATTTTTGTGATAATTTCTCACAAAAAAATTTTTTTTTTTAGTTTCTCTTTTTTCATTTCTTCTTTACAAAAAAACTTAAGTCTGCACTCCAAAGCTTTCAAGATTTACAACTATGTACATTGGAAATTTCATTTTTAGGTCTATTCTCCAAAATTGGTTAACCGCTAATAAATGGATCGTAACTATTCCATAAATATAATTTAGTACCATAAAATCCTCTAAAAAATACAAAATGTTACATAAAAAAACTTTATCAAAGTAAAATATAGTACATTAATTTCAATGAAAAAATAAATAAATCTGTCATTTTTTAACACCACGGGAGTTAAAGGGATCGTTAACCAAGAAATAAATTCTGTCGTCATTTACTCGCCTTCATGAAGATGTTTCTTTCTGTGGAACACAAAGGGAAATTGTTGAAGGATCTTCATTCTGCTCTTTTCAATACGAAAGCACTGTATGATAACAGTTACAGCAGATAGTGTTATGATACTGTGATGCTGATTTCTGTCCTTTTTGGAGTCTGTCAAATTGAAAAGAGCAGGAAAAGATGGTTTTAAAATGACATGAGGGTGAGTAAATATTATCAGATTTGTTTAGTTCACTTGAGTAACTTAGCTCTTTATTTACAGCGTGTTTTGAAGACTAACTCGACTGGTCAGCCTGCTTGTGTTAAGCTTGTTTTGGTTCATAATGAAGTGGTTTAACCCAATAAAACAATCTCCTGACGGTTGTATTTGAAGCGTTTGTTAGGTTCCTAAGCAGATTACTTCTCTTGAGTTTTTAGTTCAGTTTGAAGCATTGTTTTGTTCGGTCTAGGGATGTTCATTTTGGTTATTTTTCCTAAACGACAACCGACTCTCGTTAACCGACAGGTTTATTTTAAATTAGAATTGAATTAAATTAGAAAGGATAAGTGTCTGTGACCAGTTAAAAAATACTAACATTTGTTTCCCGGGGATTAATTTTACATACAATAAATAGGCCTATACGAGAAACATATTTTTACTTAAATTATAAATCAAGAAAATGA